TCACACCCACAGGTAGTTAGGCCGTACATTTGATTAGCTTAGATACAGAGATTTTTACCGCCTCCCTTCATAATTAAGTTTACATTTTGACTTCACATATATTATAGAAATAAATTTAATGAGAGGTAAATTTTACTGTAAGTACACTGTTTTGACACTGATTGACACTGTTTTGGCTAGGGATGGACCAAACCGGCCCGGCCCGGTCCGGAACCGGCCCGACCCGCCACTGTGTGGGCCCGACCCGGCCCGGTTACGTAATGGGAGGTTCGGGCTTTGACCTGGCCCGAGGGAGGGGAGCGCTTCGAGCACGGTTCATGAAATAGGCGGCCCGGCCCGGCCGGTTCGGGCCCGGTCCGGGCCTAACAGCTAAATTAAAAAAAATCTTTTGGCCATCCAAATAGGCCTTAGAGCCGTTGTAATTCAACTCAAACGTCTATATAGCCGTTGGGAGCCTTCCAGGTTGACTAAAAGTTTGAGTTGCATTTTTGTGACTTCATGAAACAAAAGTTTTTAAAATATTATTCCTATATTCCGCATATATATAGTATTACATTTATTCTTGATCCTCGTTTTAGACTTGCTTCTTTGGAACAATGTTTAGATCACTATTATGTTTTTTTTGGTCCATTGCCTATGTACGACGAGAAGGCTATAGACTCGAAACAACAATTTCAAGAGGTTAGTAATTTATTATATCAATTGTTTAATGAGTTTCATGCACAATATGGTAACGCACCCCCTCCACCGCCACGAACATCTTCTTCATCTAAAGGAAAATCAATTTTGAAATCTGCATTTGACAATCTTATGAAAAAAAGTAAATCAACCCCGGTTAATGAACAAAGCTCGATCAACGAGCTTTCTTTGTATCTAACATTTTTTGTTGAGTATGAAGAATGTGATGACTTTGACGTTCTTCAGTGGTGGAAGGAAAAAGAGAGAACGTTCCCGATCTTATCAAAGATGGCTAAGCAAGTGCTAGCAATGCCAGTATCAACAGTTGCTGTGGAACAAGAGTTTAGTGCGACTGACAACGTCCTAACGGATTATAGAGCGAGATTGAGCGGTATCAACAGTTCCATGATTGGTTGAAGGCCAAACGTAAAACTCAAGAAATTAGCATTGAACCCACCCGCCACTTTATGGAAGAAACAACCGAAGATGGCGGAAATTCTGATTGATTCTTATTTATTAAAAAGTATATTTCATGTTTTAATTTTTGCTCAATTTCCAATTGTACTACATATTTCAAATAAATATATTTTAAATTTTTTATGTCCAGCAAATCTTAATTTAATATTTAAACAAAAAAAAAAATTAAATAGCCCGGACCCGAACCGGACCCGGACCGGACCCGGTATCACCCTGGGCTGGTTCCGGACCCATGTTTATACAAAAAAAGCCCGCCCGGGCCTGGCCCGGAACTGGACCGGTCCGGGTCCATCCCTAGTTTTGGCACTATTTTGCATTGTGTGGTGTAGATTTATTTGCTAAATAAGGCAAATAAGGAAGTGTAAAGGTTAATACTCCGTATATCACAATTCAAAAAGAAAAGTGTCAAGTTAATTAAGAACCGGAGGAAGTATTAATTTTGACACAAATATTTTTTAAACCTTATTACTCGGTTTTTTTAACCCAAAATTGGAAAAGAAAAATGAGTGGGGCCGGGACTTAAGATGGTCCCCACCTACGTCCATTGTTACAACAGCACGTAATTAAGTGGTTTTGGTATGAAATTCTTCTACTGCGTACTTGGAATAATTATTGGAGAGATCATTCTCGTGTAGTTAATTACTTCCGTCCGTGTAATTTGTATGGACCGGATTACATGCAATACGTCGCCTGATCGATCCACTCAATCAATATTTTTGGAATAAGAAATAGCATCCCGCTCCCACGATCATATTCCGCCCCGGATCTTTTTAAACTTCACAATTTGACTTCACATTGATTAAGAAAATAAATTTGACTTTACTGTAGAGTACACTGTTTGACAGTGTTGAGACACTATTTGGCACTGTTTAGCACTATTTTGATGTATATTTCTTTGCCAAATAAAGAAATAAGGAAGTGCGAAGTTTATTTTGGACCATCCCAAAAACGAAAGTGTGAAGTTTAAAAAGATCCGGAGGGAGTATGAAATATAATTGGTGTGAATCGGCATGTAACTTCAGATTAATTAAAATGTATATTACACTCATTTAAATGTAATTTTTTAAGCAAACTCGAATATAATTTACTTTAGATGACCGGTCTTGGCAGCCTCGCTAGATGATATCGTTGTTATCGGCCTTTGATCGTTGCTGTATAAGTTTTGGTTGGTGCTCGCTGGGTTAGGTGCTCTATAAAACGTAGATCTGTCTTTTTTAATAAGCGATACCATTTAGGGATCGGTACACCATGCGTACGGTGTGTCAATCATACATTATAATTTGTGGTGGTCGTGTATACATTATCACACACACACACACACAGACACACACACACACACACATATATATATATATATATATATATATATATATATATATATATATAGATTTAGGATCACATACAAAGTCATCTTAATTTACAAACCATATTTAATTTACTAACATACAAACTCAATAATATGCAACGCTTTGAACTTCAATATGCAGTACAAAAAATGTAAAGATGCACTCTTTGAACTTCAATATGCAATACAAATAATGTAAATATGAAACTGCTATTTTATGGCTTGAATAATATGAAACACTTTGAACTTCATTGTGCAATACAAATAATGTAAAGATGATTTGAATGAGAGAACAAGTTTGTATGTGATCCCACTACTGCATCTTTACATTATTTTTATTGCATATTGAAGTTCAAAGTGATGCATATTATTTAGTTTGTAGGTTAGTATTTTAAGCATGGTTTGTATTTGATCTCATATTATATATATATATATATATATATATATATATATATATATATATATATATATATATATATATATATATAGGGGATGGTTCAAATAAAAAGAGGTCTTAACGTGCAAAGTGAAAAGTTTGCACTTTTTCATGTTTCGCTTGCACTCTTTCTTGCTTTCGTTGCACTTTTTCGCGATAGCTCAAAAAAATTGGTTTATTTACAAAACTGCCACCGTCATTTTGGCTGAATTTGGCCAAAATCGAAATGGCCAAAAAGTGCAACGCAAACAACAAAAAGTGCAAGCGAAACATGAAAAAGTGAAAACTTTTCACTTTGCACGGGAAGACCACTTTTCATTTGAACTCTTCCCTATATATATATATATATATATATATATATATATATATATATATATATATAGAGAGAGAGAGAGAGAGAGAGAGAAGTTCATCTACGGAATTCCGGACAGGAACCACCGTCTGGACGGCGACGTTTGGACGCCTTCCCGGAAGAATATTTTGATAAAATTTTTATGGCATGTTCTTCATCAAGTCTAGTTTATCAACAAAAAATTCAGCTAAAAACTAAATCGGGAAGGTCGTCAAATAATTTGTGGAAGTTAACTGCGTTTTATATGTATTCCTGTCCGGACGGCGTTTCCGGTCAGGAATTCCTGTCCGAAAAAAGGAAGTGCAAGGTGTTCTGTTGGCTTCGGACAGAAACCCTCCGAGGGGTGTTCTGCTGGCTTCGGACAGAAACCCTCCAAGTGAATTAATTCATCTATACACTAATCATATATATATATATATATATATGGACAAAAATGTAACTTGGTAACTTTTAGTAACTATAATTATATTCAAAGTTATAATAATGTAGTTATTATGATACAAAATTTTAACACAGTTATAGTGACTAAAAGTTAGTAAGTCACATCTATGGACAAAATTTTAAACACAATTATAGTGACTAAAAGTTAACCTTTTGCCCAGAGCTCAGCTCACTAAAAGTATATTAATGCTCACTCATTTCAAAGAAGCGGTAATTTTCATCACCTAAATTACGAAAGTTTTACCGAATGTACGGTGTAAGACGAACAACCACTTGGTCCAAAAAAGGTGGAATCTCCCACCCCAGGAGCTCCCCATACCCCGACCCGACAGGATTTTTGGGAGGATGTTAATCACGGTGACTCAGTCGGCCCAATGATGGTAGGCCTTTTTCCCGTGCGCACCAGAGGTCCAGCCTTATTTCAGGTTCTGTGACCTCCACACGGCCGCTGCGGGTTTCGAACCTTGGTCACTTGGATATGCATATACGAACAACCACATGTATATATGCATATACGTTTCTTATTAATAATAAAAACAAGGATATGTACCCTAATAATTAAGTGAATTAATTCATCTATACACATTTTTATATTATCGTATAGATCAGTATAAAATTTACTCACAAACTCTATTAATATCAAAATATATGGTGTATTATTTGAGTTCCAGAATCACAATACAACTGTAATTGATATGTGTTTTTCTCCCTACTTTAGCCTCCCTACATGTTAATTAATCCGGTTTGTTAATTTAAAGGTGATGGAGATGGATTAGCAATTTAAGAATCATATCACATGGCAGCTAGCCTTAATAGACAATAAGCGTAGAGCAATTATATTACATGTGACGACACTTTTAGTATATGGAATTGACATTAGTAATTCTGTTTTTGCATGACATATCATTCCAAATTAAACTCTATCACTCTCTCCGTCTCTTAAAATTATCTCGATTTTTTCATAATTATCCGCTTCTCTAAGATATTTTATATATACTAAATATGGTAATATTTGCATGGTTCAAAATTGTTCTTAACCTTAATCTCACTTGATCAATTCAATATCAACATCATAAATCATTTTTCTAGGTAATCGCACCATAGCCTCTTGTACCAATTTAGGGATATAGAAGTAATACACACATACATAAATAATTTTTTAATCCAGTAGATAAACCAACAAAATCAGTGGTGTAAGTAGCATGATCAAGCGCTTACCCGTTACTACAATATATATATGCCAAAAGCTATATCTGGTAGCGAGGACACAAGTTTATTTCCTTATACTTGCGTAGCAGTCAAGCACCACATTTCAATTGTATCGACAGGCTAGCAGGATTATGAGCAACGCATTCTCGCAGCCCTACGATCCCCACCCCATCACTTGTAACCCTACAACTACGCAACATGTTGTTGTCACGTCGGGGGTCAAACTCGTGACCTCCTCGGGTATCAATTGTCAAGATCAAGCGCTTACCACTACATCAAAAGCTATAACTTGAAGAAGGAATGTAACATTATTTTCTTATACTTGTGTAGCTATCAATCACCACATTTCGATTGCATCGGCAGGATGACAGAATTGCTGGCATTTCATTCCCACGGCCCAACAGTAAGCATCAGGCAATACTTAGCAAATTTTATTAAAAAAGAGATAAATACAAGATATATATAAAACCCTACCCTAGATAAAAAAAATGCATAAGAAATATGATGAGTATCTAGAGCTCATGTTCTCCTCACCTGGGGTGAAGTGAAGCAAGACCATAAATAATATTAGTTGAGTTTGACGAATTTAAAGTAGAAATTAAGAAAATATTTCTGCACAACTGGTCACTCAAATCGATGATCACTCTGGGTTAGGGGTGGGCATAACGGTTCGATTTGACCGAACCGAACCGTACCAAACCGAATTAAACCAAATCGAAACCGAACCATTTGTAATTTGGTTTGAGTTTGGTAGTATTCCTCCCAACCCGTATTAAACCGAACCAAACCGAACCGAAATCATAAAACCGAATAAAACCGAATAAAACCGAACTAATCTAAAAATGAAATAATTTCTTATTTTTTTTAAAATAACAAATCAAAATCAACTTACACCAAACTAAACCAAACTAAAATATAAGATTTCTCTCATTAATTTGATTGATGTTAATCTTTTTGAAGCTTTAATTCTTTAATTTTACTGTCGAGGACTAGAGTTTACTACAAGACTTACATTCACAACTATAACAATTATAGTGATTTAAGTAGATAGTATTTAACTAAAATTTATTATCTACTACTACTATATATTTGGTTCATTACTTACAAGCACCAGTTTTGTTTTTGTTTCGGCTTTATATATAATTTTATTCATTCCCGTTGTTGTTGTTGTTGCATACAAATGTGTCATGCTTATATATTTTTGGTTCATATGTGTTTTGTTATTGTTTGCAAATTTATATCTAACATTATATTTGGTTCATTACTATCGCTTCTTGGTTCATTATTTTGAGTTATTTTTTTTTATTTCAATCCAAACCTTAATACTTTGGTAAACCGAACTCCAAACCGAACCGAACCGTACCAAACCGAAACCAAACCGAAACTTAATCGGTTTGTATTTGGTACATTTTCTATCAAACCGATTAAACCGAAACCGAACCGAAACCGAAGAAAACCGAACCGAAAACCGAAATGCCCACCCCTACTCTGGGTGTTGACGACTTGGCTAAATAGCTAATCGACTGCTTGTCTACTTCGGTGCCAAATTGCTCGCTTAGTCGCTCCTCTTGGTCCTAGTTAAATATGGTACGAGAATTAAACGAGTTTTAGTAAGTACATGTTTTATTCAATAACGTGAATAAAAAACGGTCCAAAATTCGTTGAAAACAACGTTGACTTTTAAAAAACATGTAAATACATGTATTGATATACGTGTATATTAGGGTAGCTCTTACAAAAATTCGGATATAAAATACGTGGTATTATTCTGAACATTTAAATTATATACTTTACAAAATAACATAGTCCCTCCGTTTCACAATCTTTGACACAGTTTGACTTGTCAAGAATTAAGGAAAAATGTTACTGAGGGGTAAATTTTACTGTAGAGTACACTGTTTGTCACTATTTGAACACTGTTTGGCACTGTTTGAACACTGTTTGGCATTGTTTGACACTGTTTTGCACTGTTTTGGTAAAGATTTATTTACCAAATAAGGAAATAAGGAAGTGTGTCATTGAGTGTGAAACAACCAAAAAAGGAAAGTGTGTCAAAGATTGTGAAACAGAGGGAGTATAATACATAAAAAACACAAATATTCAAGAAACAAATGTCATTACTATATAAAAGAATAAATAATGATTGCATATACCAGTCGGTATCAAAAATAAAATAATAATTAAGTCCAAGACATAATTTTGCAAAATAATGTAAAAAATTAAGGTAATGATAAAATGAGATCAAGTTAACATCATCATCTTTAAATGATCATCAAATAATACTCAAGCTAAACTCACCATTTTCAACAAGATGACAGATGACATATGAGAAAGTTATGTGACAGTTACGTTTATTATTGTTTATGTGTAAATGCTTATACTAAAAATTGTCACATTAGAAAAACTTCAACTTTGATATGCTTGTTTGAAAAACATCAAAATTGTAGTATGAGGTGGTATTTTAAATTTTAGTCTTTTAGTATGCTAGCTTTGGCTGCAATGCAATTAATTTTAGTATTCAATAATTGTATTTTTTTTTGTAACAATACATAAACACGGGATCCAGGAAGGATGTTTTCCTCTTTACTTTTAAACTATTGTTGATCTTTTATACATTTAATTCATTTATTCAATTGATCAATTCGTGTTTCTATTTTTTTTTTTAAATACAGAAAATATTCTTTTTAAATGGGAAGTAAGAGTTTTTATTATTTTTAAACGGATCCACATTATTTTTCGTTTTAGACGTGTATTTTTGTTCAAAAAAATAATGGTATGTGTTTAAAACGGAAAAAGGCTAACTAGGCTTGGATCTTTGCTTGGCTAATTGAGTGAATTATAGTTTTAGAATATCAAAGCGTTTGAATTAGAGTTTTAAAATACCAAGCACACGTACGCGTTAATTGAATATATGAATTTGAATAGTGTTTAAATGAAGTAATTAAAAGTATAAAACTATCTACTTTTTTTAGTGAACAGACTAATTTTAATATATGGATTAGTATTTAATTGGATAAATAAATTGAGAGATACAAATAGAATCTGGCAAACTCTTCATATAAGAATTTATTGTGCGGAGTTAGAGAGAGGAGCGGCAATGGCATGGGGAAACCCTAACCGCCACCTCCTCTTTTTCTCTTCTTTTCTTCTCTTTATTCAATCTTCTTTGATTTCAATAATAGAAAAACATCTTCTTAATCAGTGTTTTCAATTTTATTGATGTGTTTCTTTCCCAACGTTGTTTGGAGGTATTATTTTCAGGAGCGAAATATCGCCTGCCAGATCCATATTCCCTGCCACTTTCGGTTGGGCGTTCATGTATGCTAAGAAGAGATTTGCACTGATCTCTTCATCAATCAAAAACATGATTTTTTTCTGCGACGATATTGAGACGAATCGCCCCCCTCCTGAACCACCACCGTTCCAGGAAGATGAGATCATTTGGGTTGCTTTCTTTTCGGCGGCTGGTGAAACCGGAACAAATTCTACAGTTGGTTCCTTACCGGTGGCTGGAGAAACCGGGATATTTAAGAGTTCTTTTGATAATGATTGTGATCGTAGCAGGAGCAGTCAATCTACAGGTAGAGTCTACTTCTTTGCGGAATTAGCGATTCAACGTTTTCGATTAGAATCGTCGGTTTCCATGCATCATGCCATTGTAGCCTTGAACTTTATGATTGTAATGTTTCTTGTCATCTTCATTAATAATAATTAAGTTATTTGTTTTCAAAACAAAAGAAGTTATTGTACGCTTTGGGGCCTTTTTGTAAAATGTTTTAATTTTTTGTAGGGAATTAAATGGAGTTTTTACCTGAATATTACTAATAAATGGACAATTGACAAAAAGTAACATCCATAACCTCCTCCCACTGATTACCATTTACGACCGGAGAGCGTCGCTGATCACAATGACACCACCACAGTGACGCCGCCACAGTGACACGTTGCCTACAAACAAAATGACACGTCCATTGTGACTTGCCGCCACCGTCGGCCACCGCAGTTACATCTCCACAGTGACACCCAATTATTCCGACCACATCTATTCCGGCAACCGCCAATCACCATTCACCACCACCATCTCTACCTCTCCCCATACACAGCCTACTTCCACTGCTCTCCCCATCTCAACGTGTCACCATCGGAAAACCCCCATCCCAATGCCCTAGTACTGGAAAACCTCCATCCCAATCATGCAATGCCCCAGCACCGGAAAACCCCCATCCCAATGCCCACCACCGTAAAACCCCCATCCCAACGCCCCACCACCAGAAACCCCCATCCCAACACCCCAGCACCGCAAAGCCCACATCCCTTGCCCTCGCCCCCTCTAGCCACGAAAACCCAATAGATCTGCCCGAACACGAGCTCCAGTACACGACGAATCTAGCCGAAACACAAGCTCCAGTAACTGAGAAGACCAAGCTTCGGATGAAGACAACGGCATACACCTCCCCATTGACTGGACAGAAATAGAAGGAACATAAATCCATACAGGGGAGGGGAGGCGACGAAGACCGGTAGAGCAAGAAACAAAGGGGATGGCGGCGTCGCAGAACTGGTGATCTCCTCTGCTTCGATGGTATCACCTTGGTGGTGGAATCATGGTCGATGATGAGAAGCAGTGATGAGCAGAGAAAAGAGAAGAAGGTCAGCGTAAGAACTAAGAAGAACGGGTCACGTTTGAACAAGGGTGGATAAAACAACCAGGTCACTTTTATGTCAAATATTGAAATGCTCACATTTTTGTCCTTTAAAATCTTATAGGTAATATTTGTGCCATTCTTTCGAATTAAATATGGAGACTCCAACTGTTCAACATATACATATTTTTAGATTTCTTTTCACGGTTCTACCACATTCTCCAGATTGTGTCTTTCATTTTCTTATAATATTTTATAAAATGCCTCTAAAGAAATGTTTGCGTGGAAGCAAAAAAAAAAAAAACAGAATATCATGGGAGTTAAGAAATTCTCAAAAGGGAGCTAGAGATAGATTTATTAAAATATAAGTTCTACGAATGATAATTTGGGTGGATTAAGTGAATAAAAATTTGATAATGTTAGTAAACCTAGTGACAATGAGACGAGGAATTTGCAAACTATATGTGATCAAAAATTATAAAATGAGGACATTCATAATGATTAAAATTCAAATGATGAAAATCAAAATCAAACTCTCATTCAAGATTTCATGATCCAGCTAGTTGGACATGGTGATCATAAATTAAAAGACATTTTGATTAAAAAAAGAAACATTTTGTTTGAGAAAAGACCAATTAGAGAATTGATTTAAGAATTTCCTTTTGGCCAAACATCCAGACATTTTGCGAAGGTGTTCTGTTTTTATTGCAAGTTGTTTATGTCTAAATAAAATAAAAATACATTAGCAACCACTAGTTATAATGATTGGAAGCACCTTGGTGTGAGACTGAAAGAGCATGAGCGTAGTATTAAGCACGTGAGTAATATGAAATCTTGGAATGAATTAATTGTACGATTAAATACAAATCAAATAATTGATAAAGATTTACCACAACAAATTTTAAGAGAAAAAGCACGTTGAAAATTGTTTTAATACGGAGATTTGTCAAAATGTTTTGCTAAATATTCTTTTCCTTTTGAAGAAATAATGAGAAACTTTACTTAGATAATAATGGTAATTTTTTAGAATTGGTTAAAATGACAGCATAATTTAATGTGATAATGCAAGATCATGTTATACACATTCAAAGTCATGAAATTCATTATAATTATCTTGTTAAAAATGTAAAAAGAGTTAATTTCTATTTTGGATCATAGTGTTAAAACTTTAATCATTGAAGTTGTAAAATTGTAGAGGCTAAATATTATTCTGTAATTCTTGATTGTACCCCATACGTAAGTAATCAAGAGAAAATGAGTTTAGTAATGCTTTGTGTGAATATGTCCGCTAGTAAAATAAAATGGAAGAGTACTTTTGTGATTGTTCAACACATATGTACTTTAGTTTTTCTTTAGAGAGATTGAAACTTTACTTGATATTGTCCCAAACATGACCGCTAAATCTTTGTCTAATACATGTTAGGAGAATCGAATAAAAAGTGTCAAAGCTATCATGTTTCAATCCCAACAAATTAGATTGACTTTGTTTGAGTTTTCTAAATCTTGTGACGATGCCAAGTCAAAAAGTGAAGCAGAAAGTTCAATTTGATAAGTGCAATTGAAAATTTTGAATGTTTACATGGTATAGTTATTTGGTATGATATTTAATTTGCAACAAATATAGCAAGTAAAAGAACACAATTTAAATTTACGTACTTTAGTGCTTTTATTAATCAAGTTGAAAGTATGATGCAATGTTTTGAGAAATATAGAAATGAAGGTTTTTTTTATTAAGTATGAATAAGTTTTTCAAATGTGTTGCATGTGAAATGGATGTGGAGCCTACGTTGCGAGTAGAAGACATATTATTAGGAAAAAACAATTTGATCAAAAAGAGAGCACGAGGATCACTTAATTACCATCTGAAGAAGAACTTTTCAGGGTAAAAAAACTTTATAATTATTGTGGATATTACTATTTTCTCATTAAAGTCATATTTTTGGATTCTCGTTGAATTTGAATTCATTGGATGACATTGAGTTAACACACTTTGTGTTAATATTATGGATGTTGCATACACACACATCTTCTCATAACAATGTTATGGATGTGGATTTAGATGATTTTGTTCATTAAAAGTGTTGCATGTCACTTTGCCTCATGTATTCATATTGTAAAAGTTGCATATTGCTATTGGAATGTCTCTATTGCTTACCCAACTATGCTGACTGCTTTGCGGAAGTGGTGTATGCTAAGAGGAATTTTTCAAAGTTGAAACTATTGAAGACTTATGTGAGATTTTCAATGTCTCAAAAAAATATTTAATGGCTCGACGATTTCATGCATAGAAAAGGACATGTTGGATAATGCTAATGAGTTGATGTCAATAAAACTGTCATTATACATTGTTACATCATAGTCGGGGACTTTTCTTCTTCTTTTGTCTCCGGTCTATAAATTATCACGAACGGCCCTGACCTACTCAACTCATCAACAACTTCTTCAATACATACACACACTACTTATACACGCATATAAACAATAGTTGTATGTACACAAACAATGACAAGCGTATAATCATTTCTTGTATGGCATGTGAACTATAAATTGTGTCTTTATCCTCATACACTGCACTTAGAAGTGGTCAGAAGATTCAAAAACATTTTCAAGTTCACTTTGTAGGAATACAAAAATGATGATAACACATAATGAACACCCATTGAGGTCATGCAATACGTCCATGTCGTCCGTTGAGTTTCCCTCCACTTCAACGATAACCGGCGTGTGAGTAGGATCGCCATCTGCACTCATATCTCCCCATGTCATTACTCAACCAAATAACACCATCACTAACTTGGTGCTTCTCCTTTCCTCTTAATTCCATTTAACAAGATGGGCGGGTGAAGAGGATTATGAAATCGGTCTAGCACACACCTTAATGTTGAAGAAAGAGATAGCAAAAAAAGAAAAAAAATAGAGAGAGAAAGCTAGTTGACGACAAAGCAGAGAAGTGCGATACCCCACGTTTGGAGGGGTAAAAAGTGATAAAATTTCTCCCTGTTATACGGGACCTAGCGTGTACGTATGTTGTATACATCTAGCATTTTTATAATTCAAAACAAAAACTGAAATTGCGCTCTATAATGATGTCAATGAAAGAGTCCCAAGGATATACATTAATTGCATACCAAATGTAACTATTTAAAATCATGAAAACAAACAAAGGAAACTGATAGCAAAAATTTTACATTAGCTTTTTGTAACAGCAAACAAATACGGAGTAATAGTTGCCTAATAGATCAATTAAGCTTGTCTTCCTTCAAACCACGCCACTCTCCTCTCTGTCCTCACTTAAATTCCCTCCTTTTTCCACCTGGCTGCCTATATACACCACATATACTATTTTAATTCACCCAAACCCATTCTCATCGATCCTCCCTCCTCCATCCACCAGAAACAACCATGTCTGTAGATCTAGACCTCCGGCAAGTTTCGCCGGGAACTCAAGAATTGAGGCGACCCTCGTCGGGAACTCCAAAATTCAGGCAAGTCTCGCCGGGAACTCAAGAATCCAGGTCAGGGTCACCCGTAACCAAAGAAATCGGCCAAGTCTCTCCGATCAACCAAGAATCCGATCAAGAAAACAGAGATCCCAGAGTAAACATTCATTTGTCAGCAACGATTCGGTCGGATGATCGCAGGTGCAACAATAAAATCGGTGATCATCAAGAAGAAAAAGCCTGTTTGACGCCGAATTCTCCCCGGAGTTTGATCCCGAAAACGGGCAACTGCCCGCCGGCGCCGAAGAAGCAGGTGATCAGGGCGGCGCCTTCTTGCAAAAGAAAGCTCATTTTTTTCGAGATCGACGGGAAAGAAGATATTCAATCTTTCTTCCGGCGTGTTCACCACCACCACCACCATCCCAATCTTGATTCTCCCACCAAGAGAAGCCGTAAATTAGAGAACTGAAAATAAAAACATCAAATTTCTAATTTCCAATTTTCCACTATAAGTATTTCTTCTTTTTTTATCTGGCTCTGTTTTTGAATATAGGGAGTGTAATATCATCATCATCATGTATGTAAGGGTGTATTTATTTTCAATTTTTATTACAACTTTCAATAAATATATGAATGAATTATGAATTATTTGAGCTTGCCTTATTCAATTATCATACATGGAATTTCACAGGAAAGTCTAGACAGATACATACATATGCATATGCTTGTGTGGTGTGTATATTTTCCAGATTAAGGATGAGAATGGGAATTAGTTTTTCAACGGATGGCCGAAGAAGAAAGGTAGATGCGACCTTTTACTCCACTGCCTATAACTTTTTAATTTATACTTTTTTTATAGATTCAGCCATCACTGTATTAAATTCTGTAAAAAAGAACAATCACTGTGTATTACAGAGAGAGTATCATATATATGTCTGTGTATGTATATATATGCAGGCATGTTTATAGATGCAACAATCACTGTAATAAATTGTGTACAACTGACAAAAACACACTGTATTAAATATTCTCATTAAAAATAGGAATAAATTTGTTTTGTCAAATTTATAATCTAATACTGCAAAATATGTCAAAAATGTAATAAATTAATTACAAAGTGCTGTCTAATTTTCAGAAATAAATCTGTACATGTTCTCAATATAAATGTGGACTTCTTGAGTGCATTATATTAGTGCACCATAATGGTTATGAGGGTGTTTAGAATTGATTTTAATTCTACTTCTTTTTGAAAAATACAAGTAAAATCAAAGTCAGTTTTTTAGAAGTTGATCTTTCCTAACTTTTAAAAA